CAGAAGCCAGAGAAGAGGGCCACGGCTGTACTGATCGTGGCGCAGATCGCGTGGCGCTGCTCTAAAGGCGCCTTCCTTGGATTCTACAAGGGTCACGGCCCTATATGCATGTATGTGTACATATATTTATGTACATTTGGTCATGTATTTAGAGAGAGAGAGAGAGAGANNAGAGAGATAGAGAGAGAGAGAGAAGGGTTTCTGTAAACTGTTGTAGGGTGTATAAGGTGCTTTTGCTTGTATTAACTGAAAGAGTATATTTAGCCAGGCAGATAGAGAGAGAGGGAGAGAGAGAGAGAGAGAGAGAGAGAGAGTGCGAGAGAGCGAGACAAAGCGAGAGCGAGCAAGCGAGCAAGCTAGCAAGCTAGCTTTAGCCAGCCGCTACAAATGCCGATGCCTGCCTGGGAGTTGGAAAGGATCAGGCCACCATAGTTGTTGCAGACGCGGGCAGTGAGGCTTGTCCGAGCCAGGTCCATGTTCTTCGCATCGTGTGCTACGCTGTTCCTCCATTCCTGTGCTACAGTCACTTCCGCCTCGTCGAAGGGATCCCCGAGAAAAGACGGTGTCAGCAGGATCACGCTGAAGGTGATCTGCATCCCGGCACTGGCAAAGAGAAGCAGCCAAGCGATTGCAAAGTCGATCCAACCAACACCTGCATGGCCTGCCACTAGCACCAAATTCCAGGTCGTCTCCAGGAAAGCAACCGGATCCATTGGGTCTTCAAGCGGTGCATCGTCGACCTGGACATTAACGAAATCCGCATTGTCCCCTATCGGTTTTTGTGGGGACTGCTCAGTGTGGAGCCGCGGCCCGTCGTCCACATCCGCACACGTAATCGTCTCCTCCACTTTGTTGCCCCGGCCTTGCATCAACTCCGCTTCCAGTCGTTGCTCGAGCGCAGCCAGTCGCACAAGGCACCTGAGCACTGAACAGCTGAACAGCACACCAACCGCCTTGTTTCACTTGACCTCCTCGTGGCGACCAACCAGATTGGCACGGTGCTTGGGCCGGCTTGATTGTTGGGCGGGCTGGTCCCAGCATAGAACCCCGGATTATGCACTTACATGAGGAACATATGCACGCTTCTCACGCCTTTCCTAGACTGCTGGGAATCAAGTAACTTTCCCAAGGTACAAGCCCGGCACTCAAGCTTGGACATGCAAAGCAGCAAGCCCCAGCCCGAACCTTCAGACGGTCCCAACCGTTCCGCAATCCGCCACTCGCGACACTCCTGGGCACTCCTGGGCTGGAAAAGGCAAAGGCACGGCTCCAGCTTCGCATTCAACTCCAGTTGAAACTCGTGTCGCAGTCGCCGCTCCAGATTAGCCACATTCTTCTCTAGCTTGGATGCAGACATGGCCGACGCAGGCCCGGGTACAGTTCAATGCTATATCGGATACACGGTAGCACGATTGGCCCACAGCTGGCCTCGTGCTTCCAGGATATGGAATCTGCGCAAGCTCTGCATGGTTACATGCATGTTGCCACTGCTCTATGTGCTGATGCTCTAAGGTCTTGAACCTCAGACGGTGCCACATGGACCGTACTTGTCAGTGTAGCGCAAGACACAGAGACTTCTTCCAAGCCCATGCAAAACCTTCTTCAAGCCAGGCATGATGGACAATATCGTGTTGGCCACTCACTGCAGGGAGCAATTCCGCTTCGCGGAGCTCGGAGTGGAAAATCACGTCCAGACGCCGATTGCTGCGCAGCAGCGAGGCAAAATGATGAACAATGAACATAGTGGCACTCAAACTCTCTGAGTTTCATAAACGTGCACATCGCGCCGCAGACGCTGTTCTGTTTCCAGGCACGCGACGAGATCCTGGCAGTAGATGCAAAAGTATGTGTGAAAATGCAGGGCGACCTGGGGAGTTGAGGGATTGGAGCACTAAGACACTCAGAATTGTCCTGGTGATCGTGGTTCTGGGCCAAATCGAGGGGAGTTAGCCTGAGGTTTGCACGCGCACCCTCAACAGCTGTCCTACTGATGAAGCCAGCTGCCGCCACAGGAGCAAAGTGTCTCCCCAGGTGGCCTCCACATGTGCATCATGCTCCATGAGAAGCATGGCAACCTGGCAACGGAGGACAAGGAACAGGTCATGTTGTGCATCATGTTTCATCTGGCGACGGCACCACACGAGAGTGTGAACATCAAAGCATCAAAGCGTAAAGACACACAGATGTAAACAACGGCCTGCAAGTTGCCGTTCAGAGCAGCCACATGCAGTGGCGTGCCCCCATTCGACAAGGCTATGTTCCAGTGGATCGAGGTTGCACTGCCCATCTGGATCGTCTTTTGGCAAGCCCAGCAAACAGTTGCCCAAAGGCAGTTCTTAGCTAAGCCGCGCAGGTTCGGATCAGCTCGTGCTTGCAGCAACAGCTCTGCATGCCCCGCATCTGTGTTGAAAAGGCAACTGAAGGATAGTGCTGTGGAGCCGATGTAGTTCATGAAATTTGGGTCTGCCCTTTGCTCCAACAATATTCGAGTGCAGTCGACATTCGACGCTCCTGCTGCTGCCAAGAGCGCGTTGCCACCCAAATTGGTCGGATGATTCATGTCTCCTCGCCTCTCGATGAGTGTTCCAAGCACCGATGCATTGCCAAAGTAGGCAGCCTGCACGACCACCCCTGCTCCACTGATACCAGAAGGAAGATCCAAGGATGCCCGTGCATCTAGTAGAGCCAGAACTGCCTCCTTGGAAGATAAGGACGCGGCCAGCGAAAGTGCTGTCAGAACGGTCCCGTCAATGTGAGCCTCCGGGAGCCTCCAAGAGATGCGCATCAACTTCAGCTTTTGACTTCATCAGCTCCCTCATGACAGAAATATTGCCCTCAAGGCTTGCGAGCATCAGAGGGGTCATTCCTTCGACGGCCGAGCGAGCATCCAAAAGGCTGTACCGATCGAGGAAATGGTCAAGGTCTTCATTCAAAAATTCTGCCTTGCCACGGGCTTTGGGCTTCAAGGCTTGGTAAAATCGCCAATGGCTTTGGCCGCTGTGCAGCAAGTTAGAGCACTTTGTCGCCAGGACCTCCCCCGTCAACTCTTGCAGCACCTTTCTGTCCTCTTCGACTGTAAACCTTCCCTGGCCAGGCCAGCTTGTGACCCATTCAGGCCCTGCAGAGATTGCCATTCGCGTGGGGCTTGAAACCACGAGCAACGCTTTCCTGCCTGCAGAGAAGACCGTGGCAGTGCGCTCTGCACGGCACCAACCTCGACTACCTGGTTGGTTCCATGTTCCATGTTTTCGACGTCTGGTTGGATACATTTCTAGGGGTCTTCTGCACGGCCATAAGGCCGAAGCGGGTTAAGGTCAAGTTTCCAACAAAGTCTCGAAACAAAGGGAAGGGGAAGCACAACACACTCGGCCACGTTACCCCAAGAGCTTGTTGACAACACTTTTTGTGTTTCGTTGTGCAGAAGCGAAGGAGCCAAAACAATGGTGTAATCAGCTTTGTCGCAGTACGCGGGGATGCTCGCAATAGCGTCAGCAAGTTCGCCTTTGCTGGCACTCATCTCTTCCATGGTGACTTCCATATCAGACACCACACTCAACTGTGGGCAGCTGATGTAGTCATACCAGAAATCCCAGTCCAGGCAGTTGCGTTGCTCTGCATCGGAGGGCATTGGCAAAGGAATACGCAGGAGTTCAGAGACTGTGTCCTTCCGGACTCTTGCCAGGCCTTTCCGAAGATTCTCGAGAGCCAACTGGAGCACTTTGAACTGTTTGAAGTCTGGATCGGGATGATACGTGCCGAGCCATTCGTGACTGATGAAGACGACCTTGCGTGGATGTCCCGGCTCCCACCTGACTAGTTTGCCTTGTTGTAACAGGGTCTCGTGGGGCAAGAGTGGGTGCTCCAATCTCGCCAGCACTGAGCCAGGAATCAGCCACATGGGAAATTTCATCGCAAGGCCACCGGAGGACATAGGCTCCTGAACTTCCGCGCGTATCTCCCCCAAATGGACACCCGCCCACGTGGTCCCCATCTTCGACCTTCTGCACCGCCTGCAGAAAGTTGAAGCCGGCCTACAAGGGAGCCATCGCTCAGGGCGACTTGCGGCGATATGCGATCTACACCAGATGTGGATTGGCGGCTGCTCGTGCCCAGTGGATTTGCTAACACATGCATGAACCGGAAACACCTCTCGACAAGGAAGCAGTGCCGCGCAGCTCCGCACAGCTGGTCTCCAAAGTGCCCATGTTCTGTTGATAGTGTCATCTCATGTCTCTTTTTGCGTGGATTGGGGGGCAGATGCCTAACTCAAGAAGGGGGTACATTGAGATTCTGTGACATGCCGCCGCGTCGGCAACCGTTTCGCAGGCAAGGGCGCCTCGCTTAAACGTAGTGTTTCGAATCAACTGGGTGGTTCCGGAATCACCAGCATTGCATGGCTTGCCAACTAAACCCCCGTGCTTCAACCACGACGCCATTTGTCTCTGAGACGTCTGCTCTCCTGCGCAGCTCAGAGCGGGACCTCACACGAGTGGACCAGGGAGTGCAGAAACAAAGCACACACTGTCTGTGAATGGGACGTGTGGTTTTCGAATCTGCAGTCGAGGCAGTTTGATGATCGCGTGGTAAATCCCCTACCCTATGCAGTGGTGGCACACTTGATGAAAGTGTTCTCTTCAAACTTCGTGTACCCATCACGCCTTGACCTCTCCGTGGCAAAGGAATGTACCTTACTTTTGGTCGGACGGACATGAAGATGTGCGTCAGTTCTATTTCCTCTGCATACCGTCGCCGCAAGCCCACAATAAAATATGCAACAGACACGACGGCCCACCTGCTCCACGAATGCTCTGTTGGAAAGCGCAAAGTTGCCACGAGCTTCCTGCACCTGAGGTCAAGCGAAACACTAATACGCATCCGAAACGTCGCTGTCACTTCCTCTTTGATTTCCAGCACTTTACACGAAGCACCTTGCAATTCTCAAGACTTGAAAAGCACCTTGTGCACAGCGTCTGCTGGCAATGCTGCTTCAGCCACGAGGAATGCAGCGGCCACTGCCCCTGCACCTTCGCTGTGCTGCACGAGCAAAAAACCGATCCAGCCAGCTTCGCTCTCGCTGACTGCCTCGTAATCCCTTGCAACTACGTGCCGAACATGAGAGTTTGATTCCTCTTCATCACACCAACACATGCACCTCAACAACAAGCTCGCTCCATCAATACACCAACTTGAAATACCCCGGAGTGGATGACGTCATGATCAAATGCATTTTTTGAAAATTGAAGGATTCCAAGACAAACTAAAGGGCAAACCATGGAGACGTCGAAGCGGTGAGCTCGCGGGCTTCTGCGTGACATGCTGGGAATCAAGATGCTGTCAACACCGACGGCGGTTAGGGAGCGGGTCTGGAGACTGCCGATCACTAGACATCCTTTTTTAGCCAACCATGACAAGAAGTATATCCCATCACAAGGAGTTCATTGCTAAACTGTAACAGTGCATCATCCAACCGCTCAGCCCGATTTGACTCTGACCCTAACCAAACCTAATCTACTCTGATCGTAACCCAGCTTAATTTAACCCAACCTGACGTAAAACAAGCAAAAGAAAATCGAGACCCATACAACCCCAACCTGAAGAGACACCGCAACTTAACCCTGACCTAACCCTAACCTCACCTAAACCCAGCACAAAGCCAAAACCCCTCCCCACCCAGGAGACCGCAGCCTCACCCACACCGAACATCCAACCCCAACCTGACCCGGCACCGCCAACCTAACCCTGACCAAAGCTACAGCTAAGACAGCAGCAATCTCGGCTCCCCAGCAGCGAGGCGTACGCTGTACCGTCTGCTTCCATCTTTGGCCACCCACTCGATGAGGTCGTCGAGTGAGAACCCCCTCGCCACCGCCTCTCTGGCTTCCTTCGTTGGCAGGGCCCTCCTGCTGTTGCTACACTCCGCAGCCTTCTCCTGCCATCTCTCCTCTGCCACCCGCCGACATCCCCATGAGAGCATCGTGAACCTCAGTAGCCAGCACCCGAGCCGCCGTGACTCTGACGGATTCCCGCTTCGCCGTCCCGCTTTCGATGTCCGCCCACAAGCGGTCAAGTCCGGCACTGTGCTCCACCCGAGAGAACCTGTACTGTTGTGATTCTTCGAGGCGAAGTTCAACCAGATCCAGCCGCCCTCCGTGCCCCTCCACCGTCTCCTCAACCCGCCCCAGTCTGTCTCAAGCTCTTGGAGTTTACGTTTCCTTGCTGCAGCGTCTGCCATGGAAGTGGCAGGGAAAGGTAGGTCAGCACAAAGGTCACCACCAAGAGAGTGCGCATGGCAAGCTCGTTGCGCTTGAATGCTCGACTGATAGCGGCCACATCAGGGTCGTTTGGTGCTGTGCGGATTAAGATCTTCCTGGTACAGGCTTGCAACTGAACACTGAACTGCTACATATCCCGACATGTCATGTCCCACGAAGTCCTCTAACTCTCTGTTTCTCGCTCATGCTCCAGACCTCTTCTTCGACAATTTCCCTATGCCCCCGTCCCGGAGAGATTCTTCCGCGTGCATGTAGCGTTCATGATTCTTGCGGGCCATAACACTACCTAGAACCTTCTGACAGTACTTGCAGGTCATGTTGGCTGCACCGCTGCACCCGGACCTCTACACTCCGGCTCATGTTGCAGTACATCACAATTGCGAAACTGTTCATTACACTTAGAGCAAGTGACTAGTGGATGTCGTCCTCGTCGGGGCCCGTCCACATTCGCGGCAGCCGGTCGACGTCGTACCCTCTGATTCCGTGGTGCTTGCGGTGGTGCCGCTGCACGCTGGTGCCCCCATAGGCCCGTCTGGTGACCGAATCCACGACAGCGCATGCGGACTGCCCAACGCCCCTCGATCTGCCAGACGGTCTGCCACTTCATTTCCATGCACCCCGGTATGCCCATAGACATGCCTAAATTTGAGGACGAAGACACGACGTACTGCACCGACCAGGGCTGCAACTGATTCGGACAGTGCCCCATTCTCCCTATCCCGAGTGAGCCTGCTAGCTAACCCATACGCGTACTCTGAATCATACAGTATGGTCGCTCTGCGCTCCGCATTAGGGGGTAATCTGCCATGCAGTTCAAGTACCACTTATTACACGCCTCTCCTATCGCTGTTAGCTCCGCCGTGTTACTTGTGCCCCGCCTCGCCCCCATCCAGACTGGACCGTGCGCCTCCGCACAGACCGGCCCATACAGCGCTGCCAGCCATGGCAAATCAGGACTAGATTGCACTGACCGCTAAAATGCTCTCGAGGATGGTTGGGTTCGGCAGCCAATCTTTGGCCCTCGGCCACCAATGCTGAAACAAGGAACCATTCTCAGGTGGACCGGCCCGGGCTTCCTCGGCTTGCCATCCTGCTGTAACTGAACACGCCGAGGAGGCACAGCCGGCACATTCGGCGGCCGGTTCGACGGCTTGGGCTTCTTCTTTTTCCGTGTGACCTGCAGCCACTCACCCTGCGCAGGCTCAATCGTAGTTTCTGCACGATTTTCTCGAGATCACGAAACAAGGCCTCATAGCCATCGTCTCCGCCTGTCAAAAGCCCGGCAGGAGAAGCTAGGAGCTTCTCTGTCCTATTCCGCCTTGTCGTTCCCTCCCCCACCTCCACCACGCAAAGGATCAGTGCCTTGAGGGCTTGGAATAGGAGCTCCTCACCTGAACCGATAGCGATAACCCCCCAAAAAAATGAAAAGACTTCTAATCAAGACTTCCTCAAATTTACGGCGCATGGACCCGAATCACTGAATCTCCAACGACACCTGTCCTGTCCCGGCCGGGTCAATGCCGTCCTGGCGTATTCCCTTTCCCCTTCCCTTTACCTCGTCTCCCGATGTTTGGCGGGCGACGTGCAGGATGCCATGCAAACATGTCCTGCGAGCCGCTGGATGCGGTGGAAAGCACTAGCCAGCATCCCAGCAAGCAGCAATCACGGCAGCAGCCTTGATCGCTTTGGTCTCACAGCTTTTTGCAGCACGACTTGCTGCAAAGCATCGCCAACCAAGACATGATCAGCACCAGCAGGTTCACCAGCACCATGACCCTCGCCGTAGATCCCCAGCCAGGGACAAAATCATTCACGGTGACGTGGGCACCGCTACACAACACATCGTCAAGGCCACAGCCGCCAGCAACGGCATGAAGACGCCCATCAGGACGAGCCAAATTCAAACCAACTGCGAGGGGAGGACAGGCACGATGAAGTCGGCAATGTCCAAGCCCTCTGCGACCTCGGAGAGCCTAGAGCTGTGCAACGGGACGAAAACCCAAGCGTAGACGAAGTCGCTTCTGAGCAAGTCGGGAGCAGCCAGCCCGCCCCACGGACCAGGCCACAACGTAAAGATTTGCCGTTCCAGAAGATGGCGGAACCACTGGAGACCCTAAACTCAGCGGATCTCCTTGGGCTACTAGGGCCAATCGGCAAAGAAAAAGCGAGCAAGCTCCCACGGCCAGCATTGCAAAAGATCGTAGCACGTAACTCATCTGAGAAAGGCACCACAGCCAAACATTGAAGAAAAGATCAAGCAACCACCGCTTGACCCACACGAGGCCAAAGACGCCAATGAGATAGGCACCTTCCCATTCGAAGCGCCTTCTCAGCGAAGCCAGCCCACAAGCCAGTCCGTTGCATTTAAGATGGCAGCATCAATGATGATCGCGAAGAGGAAGACGCGGTGCACACCATAGTAGTCGGCAGCCACATCACTCCCGAGAGAGAGGCATCGGGAGACTGTTTCGCACCCTGTGCGTTTTGCCTCGTCCTGGTCCTTTCCCTTTGCCGTTAACGTTGCCTTTGCCCTTGGCCCTTGTTTGGGGATCTCTGTCCGGATATACTTGAAGCTGGCCTCCGTTATCGAGCTTTGAACGGACATTTAGAGCCCGGCTAATAACTTTGCGCTCGCTTTCGCCAACCAACCTGCTGGGCTCACCTGGCAGGGCCTGATGCGACAAGCTCCCCGATTGTGAACTCCGTCGCCGTGGATTCCCTCTCCTTTTTGGTCGGCAGAGCCCGCTTTCCTCCGCTGATCTCTGATGCTTTCGCTTGAAGAACCTCTTCGCCTGCCTCGGACATATCCATAGGAGCATCATGAACTTCAGTTGACAAATGCAGTGCTGCGGATGTTCTGATGGTCTGGCGTTCCACCGTACCACCTTCGACATGACTCTAGCTGGGCTGTTTTCGTTTCGCAGGAAACGGTACTGCTGGCTCTCTTCAAAACGCAGCTCCACCATGTCAGGTCTGCTCCCGTGTCCTTTCAGGGTCTCCTCGATTTTTCCAAGCTTGTCCTCAAGCTCCTGAAGCTTCCGCTTTCGAGCTGCTGCATCTGCCATAGCTGGGCTAGGAGGGGTTACACAGCACCGCCACCAGAACAGGAAGGACGCTTGGCATGCTCACTAATCAACACACTCGGCCGATAACGACCACGCAGGCACAAGACAGGCCCATGGCAGAGAGCGTTTCATACTCGCCCATCCCATACCGCCAACCTAGTCCTGACATAAGCTACACCCGAGCCTGACCCACCCTAACATAACCCGATCTTATCTAAACCCGACCCAACCCCCTAAGCTGACCTAATCCCGATCGTAACCCAACCTAAGCCAACAAAACCCAACATCCCACTGTGCCAACCAACCCCAACGCCCCCTCCCTGTCCCCTAACACAACTGGACCCTGACCAGAAAACAGCACATGACCTAATCTAATCCCCCTGACATAACCTAGCCCAGCATAACCTAACACAACCAAACCAAACCTCTCCCCACATAGGGGGACCCCACCCGCGCCGGACCTCCAACCCCAACCTGACACCACGCCGCCCACCTAACCCTGACATAAAAAAACCCGAGCCTGACCCACCCTGACATAACCCGATCTAACCTAAACCCGGCCCAACTCAACCCAAAATACCTTAACCGGACTATGATTTTGGCTTCTTGGTTGCCTAATCGGTCTGCTTTGTGTGCACTCGGCAGTTGTGGTTATCAAGAATGCGTTTTGGTCGTGCAAGCTTGGTTGGTTGAGCAATCGATCCCTCATCTACTGTAACCATCGAAACATGTTCCTCACTTTCGGTGCAGGCAGATGCAAGCACTCACACACCTGGATTCCGCTCGGCTCGGGGGCTTGCTCTAGCTGGGAGTGTTCCCGCTGAGCATGGAGGATCCCGAATAGATGTCATGTGAACTACGACGGAAAGGACGGCACCCGGCAGGATTTTTGGCCCATGTTACAGTCGTATGCCGTACTTTCGCCCGGTACTGGGTTTAAAGTGCCTAGAACAAGCTTTCCAGAGCCCCGAAACTTCACCCCGGCGAGAAAGAACTGCATGTACGGGCTCGTGAAGCAAGGCTTTGTCTGGGTTAGAGTATAGATGGAACAAACCCAGAATCTGTGAGCAGCACGGTTCTCACCGCGTAGGCAGTGAATGAGCACTCTTCGGCCTGAACGGCACTGAAGCAGCACAGGATCTCGAACAGACAGGGACCCACCTGCGGCAACCTGCTCCTGCAAGAATGCGACGGCTGCGGGCAGGTGCTGGCCTTGGCTTCAGAACTCTAGGGCTGCTGCTACCACTCGTGGCAAATGGCAAATGCAGAATTCCCAAACTGGCTCAAATGACGAAGCGCAGAAGCTCATGCCATGCGTTGGATAAATAGCGATGGTGATGGTTTGGTGCTCCGCTCTACAGCTTCTGAGGAAGTGCCGCTAGAAGCGCAAGGTTCTCTGAAGCCGGACAGAGCACTGTGCGCTACCGCTTTCTCGCGCTATGGCTGCGACCCATATCGTAAGGCTCCATGCCTGGCACTGCGACCTGCTGCAGCCGAGATGTTCACACGAAGATCTGACAGAGGCATGGATCTGACAGCCTCGCCGTCGATGATGATAGGCTCCGCTCGGTCCCGATCTCTGGCTGGAAGTGCACAGTACCTGTGCAACGTAGACACCGCATGATGCCGTGATGTGACGCCTCAGGGCAGTAGTGACATGCGGGAATCGGGCGCACCTGATGCCAGAGATGTCTCCCAATGCGATACTTTCCGATTGCGGCAGGGCTCTGATTGATGCCTCGATCTCCTCCAGTTCAAGATGCATCCATGTGAACAACGAGGGAAGGAACCACATGGAGTGAGGTGCAGGAGAAGTCAGGGAAAACGCATGCATCTTGCAACGTATGTGATCGAAGAGCTTTCCGTGGCCCTTGAGATGCTTGAGTTTTAGATCCATATCCTCCGGCGAGCAGCTCCACAGAAAGGACATGAGATCCCAGCTTAGCTTAAGGCCTGACCCACTCATATCGCACTAGACGAACTCACAGACAGAGGCGTCAGCAACAAGCCGGAGACGTTACGAGTGGCGCACAACAGAACGAGGGAAGGAGAAGGAGCGAGAGAGAGAGAGAGA